AGTTTCTAAGGGGACACAAACCTGGATCCCTTTCCATTCTCCCACTTGAGGACATTTCCTGGAGAAAAGTTCAGCTGGTCCCTAAAAATAGTTGATATTTAGACAGGGGAGAGGAAGGTAAGTGGATGAGGGAAATAGTAAATATTTACTAAATGCCTATCGTGTGCTGGTACTGTTAGTGCCAGAAATAAACAGTGAGCAAAACAGACCCTACTCCTGCCCCTGTGTACCTTACAATCTAGTGGGAGAGACAGGCACAAATAAATAACCACCTATTCATGTGTGTACTACAATCTGCAAAAGGTTTTATGAAGTAAAGGTATAGGCTAATAATGAGTTTATGTGTGGGGAAGGGTGCTGATCCAACCTAGTGTGAAGAGAGGCCACTCCAAAGGGGCATCTGAGCTTGAATTTGAAGGATACTAGGAGTTAACTAGGTGATAAGGGCATGAGCTAAGAGCATATCAGGAAGAAGGAACATCTGGTGCAAAGGCCCTGAGGCAGGAGGAATAAGGGAATTCTGAGGAACTGAAAAGCCACTAGGAGAACTGGAATGCATGGGGGTGGGCAAAAGAAGGGGTGGGACCAAGAGGCCAAATTAAGAATTTGGGCCTTTATGTAAAATAATTTAAGGATTTTCAACATAAAGTTTCATAACAATTTTGTCCCCTTTAAATAGATCTCTGGTTACAACATGAACAAAAGACCAATGAGCAGCCCTGTACTAGTCCAGAGCAAGGAATGGTAGCGGCTGGATGAACAAAGCCAGAGAGAAGAATACATAGTTTGTGAGGAGTGCAGCCATCTCCCCCATGGCTGATGGCTGTATTGCTGAACTTCTTCATTCACTTAACAAATGCTTGATGCTCAGGTTCAAGTCCCAGCTTAGGCCCTAAACCTGTCTGGGCATCAAGGGGCACGGCCTAAAAGAAGCAGAGCTCAGCTAGTGTGGGGGACAGCTGCGCGGCTGGTTCTTCAGAAGAGAAGCCCTCCGCGCGGCCCTACCACCAGCGCACTCCCGCGTAGAAGCAGGCTCACATTCCATCTCCTCCCCGGTCTGCACCAGCTGTGCTTCCCAAACTTGCCCTCCAGGGAAGTGAAGGAGGTAAGTTTCCGGCTCCCCTTACGGGAGTTTACTTGGAAAGTTTACGGGAGTTTCCAACACAAATCTCGATGCTGTCAGACAGAGAAGCCGCGGGGAACGGCTCCGATACCCCAAGGCTGGCTCCCTAGTTCCTGGACGCCGGCTGACCCGGAAGCACGGGTACCAGGAAGAAGCAGAAGGCAGAGGAGTGCGGGGCAGGAGGGCGGAGCGGACCTCTGTTACGTGCAGGATCACGCCCCTTGGGGAGGGCGCTGCGCCTGCGCCGGAACGGCCGTCTCGCTCCCGGAAGTGGAGGGTCTGCCAGGAGAGAGCCGCTGGGTCTCGGTGCCCGGAGGCAGAAGCGCTCGCGAAGCTCGCCCGTCAGCCCCCGACTGCCATGTCAGCCTTTGACACCAACCCCTTCGCGGACCCAATGGACGTAAACCCCTTCCAGGTAGAGCTTCCAACACATCGCTCGCTCCAGTGCCGGAGGCCGCGCCCGGGCCTTTTTCGGCAGTGCCGGGAGACGTGGCGTGGGAGGGACGGGCCGACTGCCCAATGGGAGAGCGGGCTCTCCCGGCTGGCCTGTCGGAGCGTGTGTGGGGCGGCACCAGCAGCAGGTGGAAGGCCCGAGGGGCTGGGCGCCGGTAGCCTGGGAAGAGGTGGGACCCTCTAACTGCCCAGACAAAGCCCCTCTGACCGGGTACTCCCGGGGAAAGGGACTGGAGCAGACTGGAGGTTCCCCGAGCGTCAGAGAGTAATGGCTTCACCTACCACAGGTGCTCGGTGAGGTGTGACTACCACAATCCTGCAGTCTTGGTTTGAGAGAGTCACGTTAGGAGAGGGGTGACAGCAGCATAATGAAGAGGTGGAAGGCTTAGTGGGATGGAGAAATGTGGAAATCCCAAGACAACCCCGTCTCCTCTCCCCCAACAGCCAAACTAGCGTTTAAGGTATAAGAGGACCCCAGAGATTTGTCAGGAAAGGAAAGCTAGGGAGAGAGTGAGAAGCTGAAATATGGCCTTGATAAGAATGATACACTTTGGCCCGGCCAGTGTTGCTCAGTGGTTGACCATCGGACCCAGCACCAGGAGGTCACCGGTTCCATTCTCATTGGGGTGCATGCCTGGCCTGCGGGCTCCATCCCCGGTGGGGGGCAGTCAGGAGGCAGCCCACCAATGTTGATGTTTCTCTCTCATCCATGTGTCTATCTCTCTTTCCCTCTCCCTCTCTCTAAAATCAATAAAAACATTAAAAAAAGAAGTACACACTTTGGCCAAGAGTCTGCTTTGGACTGGATTGGCTAGATAGGAGAGCCCAGGTTAGGGAGGGAAGAGAAGTGAGAGAGCTCTGAGGGTCTTGATGTTGGTCTGCTGGACTTGTAGGTGGTGGCAGGGTAGTTGAGATGCAGTGACCTATGAGTTGACCTCACATTTTAATCAAACGATGGAGGAAGAAATAGTCTTCCTACTTAAAGCCAAAACTTTTCCGCCTTTGAGCTAAGGGGATAGGGGCTCTCTTTTTCCATGATGAAATGCTGGGACTCCTGTTAGTGCCCAAGCTCCTGTGCCTCTTGTTTCACGTCTGCTTAAAACCAGTTCTAGGAAACCTTGCTTGTGTTCACTGGTGATTTATGAGCCCTGAGGTTTCTGCTCTGTGAGATGTCACCAGGCACATTATTAATTCATCCTGCTTGGACTTTGGTAGTTGTCAGCTTCAAAGTTTCCTGCAGGTGTAGGGGAAGTTTTTGGAGGGGTCCTTCCTGCAACTAACAGCATGAACTTTCTCACCTTGAATCTCCTCAAGGGCCAAAGCCAACCCAAAAGAGACTAGAACAAAATTACTATACGTTGTCAGGAAACTCAACATTTTATGCTTCTTTCATGGTCTCAAGGTACCTTAACTAATGGGGACCCTCAAGGCAATTTGTTAACGTGTTCTTTGTAACATCAGGGAGTTCTTGTATCTTAATACTTCCTGACAGGACCGTTAGCAGGACCTTGTCTCTTAGGTGACTGTCATCTCTGTTAGTTGAGTAAAGAAAGAGCATTTGGCCCTAGCCGGTTTGGTTCAGTGGATAGAGCATCAGCCTGGGCACCAAAGAGTCGCAGGTTTGATTCAGGGTCGGGGCTCATGAGGAGGCAACCAATCGATGTGTTTCTAAACACATTGATGTTTCTCTCTGTCTTCTCTCTCCTACTCGCCCTAAAAAATCAATGGAAAAATATCCTCAGTAAGGATTAACAAAAAAACAAACAAACAAAAAAGAATATTTGCATTTTATTTGCCAGTGTCTTCTGGTAACTGTTTTTGCTTTAATTACAAAACTGCTGTATAATACTGGAGTTTGAGTTTTCATAAGGATCTAGTAGGCTTTTGGTGTGTGTGCTATGTAATCATTTGCTTTTTTTTTTTTTTTTTTTTTGTCCTTTCAGAAACAAATAAAATATCTGTTGCTATCTGACAGAGGTGGTCAGCTTGTCCCCACGGCTAGTAGTGGGCAAGATAGTTGGCCTGAGTTCAGCTTTGTATTAGTACTAGCTTGAAAGTATTAAACTACATCTTCACCCCCAGAAATGATTGTGCAAACTGTGGTAGAAGAAACTTCTGCATTCAAGCAAGACAATCTGTCCATCAGGCAATCCCAGAATATGGCAGGACAGGAAACAGCTGTGGGCCTGTGAAGAGCAACATCTGGTTGGGGAATCCTTTGAAGGAAGAAGAGAGTTGGCTGGCTATGATTCTTCTCCATACTCTGGGCTGGTTTCCCCTCTTGGTGCACAGTTGTGTGGGGAGAAGGAGCTTTGGAAGTGAGGCCCCCAAGCTCCTTCTGGAGCTGCTCTCCCTCTCCTTGTAATGGCAGCATCTGGTTCCCTGACTGCCAGGGCTGGGACAGTGGAGGGTGCAAGCCTTTGGGTGACAGGGTGTGAGCCCAGCTTCATTACCCCATGGTGTTGGCACAGAACTCAGGAGGGAGGTGAAGGCCAGCCTTCAAAACAGAGTCTTTTGTTTCTATCACCTGATGGTGGGTTGTGAAAATATATTAGCATCCAGAGTCCATGGTGGACTATTAAAGCTGGGAATATCCTCAGAAGTCTGTTCTAAACCCTTCAGTTAGAGATGAGAAAACCAAGAACCCAATGAGGATGGGACATGCCTGAGTCACTGGATAATTTGCAGCAAGGAGGAGCCCAGACCTGGATCTCATTCCCAGAACAGTGTTGTTTTAAAGGTTTTTAAGCTCAGATATTGTCTTAAACTGCTCTGGAGTTATTTAGCCAGCCAAGGAAAAAAATGTTATGTCATCATCACCACCACCATCCTTAAAATGAGAGTACTGCCTGGCTGGTGTGGCTCAGTGGTTGAGCATTGATCTATGAACCAAGAGTTCCCTGGTTCGATTCCCGGTCATGTGCCCGGCCCAGGTTTCGGGCTCAATCCCCAGTACAGGAGGCAGCCGATTGCTGTTTCTCATCGATGTTTCTGTCTCTCTATCCCTCTCCCTCCCTCTCTAAAATCAATTAAAAAAACATTTTAAAAAATGAGAGTACTGATAGGGGTGAAAATAACAAATTAGCATTAGCAAAGCTATTTTTCCCCCCAGTGTGTGGGGCTGGAATAATTGCCTTATGCTTTTTAAGACAGTACTTTTAAAAAAAAATTTTTTTAAATTGATTTCAGAGAGGAAGGGAGAGGGAGAGAGAGATAGAAACATCAATGATGAGAGAGAATCATTGATCAGCCGTCTCCTGCACGCCCCGCATTGAGCTGGCAACCTGGGAATTGAACTGTGACCTCTTGGTTCATAGGTTGACGCTCAACCATGCCAGCTGGGCAAGACAGTACTTTTAAAGTAGTGTATGTTCTGAGTAATAAGTTTTTGAGAATCACTACATATTTCTTTTTTTTGAAGATTGATAAGTCTTGTTAATTTGTTAAAGGCTCTGAGAAATCCTACAGTAAAGATATTTACTCAACTTTGACCCAACATTTCTCAAAGTTATTAAACCATGGAATCATTTTTCTGCTAACTTTTGTAATATTTCATGAAACTTCCAGTTCTCCTTTAAGTGTTCTCTCTCTCTCTCTCTGTCTCTCTCTGTCTCTCTCTCTCTCTCTCTCTCTCTCTCTCTATATATATATATATATATATATATATATAACAATATTATTATATTATTATAATAATAATATATATATATTATTGATTTCAGAGAGGAATGGAGAGATAAAAACATCAATGATGAGAGAGAGAATCATTGTCCGGCTGCCTCCTGCACATCCCCTACTGAAGATCGAGGTCACAACCTGGGCATGTGCCCTGACTGGGAATCAAACCGTGACCTCCTGGTTCATAGGTCGATGCTCAACCACTGAGCCATGCCAGCCAGACCTTACCCATGTTCTTTATCCACCTCCACTCCCACCCCTGCCCCACACTGTGGGCGTGGCCTTTTATGACCTCTTCCTTGTGCATGATATAGTTATAATTGGAATTATTAGAAAACTTCTTGCAAAGTAAGAGCTGCGAAAGGAAAGTTTTCACAAGAGTGCAGCTGAGGGTTTACTAAACTTGTAGGAGGAAGCAGGAAACTGCAAGCCAAGTGTTGCTGATTTCACAACCTCCAGTGGCACTCCCTAACCCCTCTATTAACGATGGTACATCTGCTTTGTACTCTCTGGAGATGCTTGTATTGCTTTGGACTGATTCCAGTGTATCTGCTCCTAAAAGTTTCTCAGTCTTGTCGTGGTAATGAGGAGGTAAAGGGCTAAAAAGGTAGGCATTGTACTGTTCATTTGATTTTTCAGCAGTTCCCTAACAAGCAGGTCACTCAGGCACATGCCAGCGTTGCTTTCCTCCTTGGTATTTCTGCCAGGTTACCCCGGTGGCCCGCATTGATCTGAAGAAGGGGATTGGACCAGCTGGTGGTACTGAAGCAGTGGTTCTCAACCTTCCTAATGCTGCGACCCTTTAATACAGTTCCTCATGTTGTGGTGACCCCCAACCATAAAATTATTTTTGTTGCTACTTCATAACTATAATTTTGCTACTGTTATGAATCGTAATGTAAATATCTGACATGCAGGATGTATTTTCATTGTTCGCGACCCACAGGTTGAGAACCGCTGGAATAGAGAAAGCCTTTAGGTCTTCATGAGTTTCCAGATCACACAATTTATCACTTTCACATGTTGCCTGTGCAGTTAAAAGATAATCTCAGTGGTGTGGCTGCTTCCTGAGGATTTAAAACATTTCTCCTGTGGGAGGAAAAAGTGGTGACAGAAATGTGATTGGGATGTAAACAAAGTTATATGAGGTTCTCTGCACAGACACTGATGGTTTTGCTGCTTTCCAGAGAGGGTAGGCTCCAGCTTGACTCTAACTTTGGGAATTTCAAAACCACCAAATGGACCTGGTAGGAGTTTCCCGTGGGACAGGAGAATTATCTCAAG